GGCCGGAGCCCGGCCAGCCGCCCGCTCCCGGCCACAGGTGCGCGGGCGCAGCCTCGCCGCCGGCCTCTGCCCAGCCCTTGCCTCCTGCTTGAACCAGATGACGCCGTGCACCGGGCCGTCGCCCTTCAGCACGCACACGGCCTTCAGCGACATGACTCGCGGGGGCGCGCTCCGCTCCGGGCTCCGAGGACCACAAGGGAAACAGACGGTGCGACAGAAGACGCCGACGCAAACCGAGGTGAGCGCGCCGCGGCGCCTTTATAGGCCGAGCCCCACGCCCCGCCCATCCTGGCCCGGAACCAATCGGCGCCCACGCACTCAGTCCCCGCCCCCCGGGGGCCTCGGCACGCGAGTGGCCGGGCACGGCGGGGGGCGGCGCCGAGGAGCCACATGGGGAACCTTGCGCCTGGCGCTGCAGGCTTCCTGCGCCCTGCGGCTGTGAACCGCCCAGAGAGCTCGACCGTGGAAAAAACCGTTTTCACTCTCAAAGGTGTAATCTGTGGACCGCAGTAGGCGAAATTGGGACAGTGAGGTCTACGTGCACGCCCTGAAGATCTGAAGTCACTTTGTCTGGAAATGTCTTTAGTTACAACTGCATTTGGTCATAACATTGTCTCATTTGTTATTTAGAAATTGAGACGCACCAAGCTGGGTGCTTTTCGTAGTTTTCATTTTTTGTCTTGTTTTCTGAGGGTGTGTAAAGTCGATACATCTCAATCCCTGGCCTCACCTTTTCTTCCCTGCAATTTTTTTAGTCCTCAGCCCGGAGAGTTACTTATTTGGTTAGCAGAATTCTGTATTCTTTTCAGATTTTGCCTGTTTGGCAGGCCATAACCCTAAAAATGCCAAAATATCGATAGATTGACTTCTGTGCATCTCTCATATTTTGTCTGACTCTACTGCCACAACAGTGAAGGAGAAGGGTAAATAATTTATGATACCTCCATACAACAAATACTACTTATCCTTCAAGGAAGATATTTCAAAAACACACTATGAAATGAGCAAACATAAGAACTACTTTTGTGGGTTTTTTTTTTTTAGCGTAAACATTTATTTACTTGTGTGCTCAGAACTCCCTAGAAAGAGATACAGGAGACCGTGGGTACCTTTGGGGAGTGTAAACTAAACTTTTACTAATTTTCTTCTCTAAGAATACTTTTTTACAATGCACATGCATTTTTCTGCAACAGTATGGCTTAGAATGAGAATCCTCCCCCACACAGACACTTTTGCTGGGAGAATAATTTGATAAACTATGGTGGGAGGGGAGCATGAGGGGAGAGGAATCTTCATCTTCCATCCTCACAGGCATGCCTGAATAACAAAGGTGGCTGAACTGTTTTTGGAGGTGAGGTTAAATTAACCAGACGTGTGCATTAGACTCTTCTAGAAGACTTGTGAGACCACAGGTTGCTGTTTTTCTGACTCAGTGGCTCTGGGGTGGGAACCCAGAATTTGCTTCCTAACTTGTCCCCAGGTAGCGCTGATGCTGCTGGTCTGGGCCTCACTTTGAGAACCTCTGGCTGGTGGGTGTTTTCCATACCCAGTGAAGTACGCAAGGTGGGGACAAGCTGGAGACACTTGACTCAAAAGAGGAGACAGGGAAAGTGTTCTGAAAAGAAGTGTGGAGAAATGAGGCCCAGACAGGGGCCAAAAAGGGGCACACTTGAAGGGCCTCTGCCTGCTGGTGACATCTGCTCCGTTGCTTTGTGGGATTTGGTTGTGAGGATGGCAAATAACTGAGGCCTAATTCAAGGCCAGAGTGACACAAGGGCAGAGGCTGCTTCAGCCATGTGTGGGCCATGCTTTACAGTCTGTCTGTCTTTCTGTCTTTCTTCCTCTCTCCCTCCCTTCCTCCCTTCCTTCCTTCCTACTCTAAGGCATCCTCTGTCAGAGATACTCAATCCACATTTTTTATCATCCTCTAGAAAGTGAACATATTTGTGATTTTGCTTGTTGTACTTACTAGCATTCTCCAGATAACTGGCATATGCTAGGCAGTTGCATAAATGTGCGGATGCCAGCCAAAGGCCTTTGCCCAAGGCCAAAGTTTCTTTGGGTTTCAGGAAGTTAGAGTGAGATTTCAGTTCACTGGGAGAGCTTGCCAACGAGGCAGACCACGGATACAAAGAGTGGCCCTGGGACATTGAGCTCCCCTTTTGAGATATGTAGATGAAGCCTGGACACCCCTTGTTTGGGTCGCTGGAAGGGCTTGTGTCCTGCAGGATTAGGGGACCCCTGAGGTTCATTCCTAGTACCGCCCTCACTCCTGGGCAAGGGGGTCCCTTGCCCTGGGCCCCACACTATAGAGGACCCCGTTCTGTCCCTCCTCTGGCCACTTCTCCCGTGGAGGGAAGAGTCTGTGGAGCCAAGAAAGTGCTCCCACCCTTACCCCTCCTTCTAGAACAGGGTTAAAGAATTTAAATATGTGAATTTGAATAGTATTTCTGTCTTCCTAAAGCAAGATGTCTCAGCCTCGGCACTTTTGACACCTGGGGCCCGATAACTCCTTGTTGTGGGGAACCATCCTGTGCATTGCAGGATGTTTTCTACCTGCTAAGATACTCCTGGCACCCCTCCTCCAAGCTGTGACAACCAAAATTTCTCCAGACATTACCACATGTTCCCTGGGAGGCAAAATTGCCCCCTGTTGAGAACCACTGTTCGAGAACATGCACTGAGTACCCAGGACCCTGGAATTTCCTGCCCAAAGAGCTGTGAGCCTGTTTCCAGGACCTGGACAGGCTAACGATGGACTGTGCCACCGTGGGTGCACACTTAAGCTTGACTATCGGCCCCTCTCAGTGCAGCATGGAGCCCGGGGTTGGAAAAGAAGGAGGAAAGAATAGGGACAGGGGGCTGGCGCTCATTCTGCTGCCACCTTCCCACACAGAACTCAGAGAAGTCCAAGAATTCCACATCTGAACCTGCCATCCAGGTCTTCATGAAGCTGTATTTGTTCAGGCAGGAGGAGAGGTTACATTTTATTTAACTGTGTTATCTTGATTTATAACATTTAAATATTTAACACATGGTGGGAAGGCCTCCCTTCGTGCTCCCCGTCCTGTAAAAGTTAAGACAGGCCTGTTCATGTCGACCTTGAGGTTCTGTGATCAAATGGCTTTGGGACGCTCCTGCCCCATAATCTAGTCACAGAGTTCATGTGTCTCAAACTGGGGTGTGACCAGATAACTCAGACAGGTAATTTTGAAAAATTCACTGTTGTACCAGGCCAATCCCATTGAGAGTCATTATCTCCAAGAAGTCAGGAAAATCCCAAAGTAGCTTGGGTTATCCTGAGCTCCGGAACGTGGCTGGAATCTGACAGTCAGAAAGGGGCACAGGTAATCCAGAGAGACTCTGATTTTGTAGGGAATGATGAGGAGGGATAGATGCCTCAGATCAGATTGCAGCCCGTGCAGATGACTCAGCAGTTTAGAGTGTATCCTTCTGGCATTCCTGAGAAAGAAAATCAGTGTTTTGGGGCCTCTGTAGTTAAGAGAGGAGCAAGAAAGTAGACCAGAAGTTCAGTCTTTCGTTTCCATTCTTTTTCTCTTCCTTTCTTAGGACTCATTTGTCTCTTTTCTCTTTTATTTTCTCTTTCCCTAAATCATTTTTTCTTCTGTGACCCAAGGCCATTTCTCAGTAAATATGTAGTTTTCTATTAATCTCCTTCACATCACACATCACAAAGAGATTATCACCAAGGCCTTTGCTTATGAAAAACTTTTGTATATGAATTGTAGGAAAATGTCAGAACTAATGGAAATCCAAAAGAAGCAACGTACAAAAAGAGAGGTTTTTTAATGCTAAGAAACAAAGGCACTAATAATTAGGAAGAAAATTAGAAATAGTTAAAAATGGTATCAGCTAGTCCTACCTGCAAATATTTAATGTGAGTAAATCCTCAAAACCGAAAGTAAACACTGTAAGAAGATTATATCACAGAATCTTGAAGTGTCTGAGGCATTTTTGAAAGTTGGAGAGAGAAAAGTCTAAAGATTAATTTAGGTTGTTAGTAAGCAGGAGTGAACAGCTTGGGATTAGAAATTTGTAAACCATAATTGAGAGTCAGCTGTATATTTAACAGTCTTGGCAGTAACGCGTGTCATATGTTATCTGTTTAGTGCTTCCAGCCTGGGCTCTGGCTCACTCTGGCCCACTCTATCATCTTGGGTATTTCTCTCTAGAGCTCAGCTATAAATCAAAGCTACCTGGGCTAGGTGCAGTGGTTGCCAACCCTGACTGCACAGCAGAACCACCTGGGAGCTTTTTTGAACACTGTGCTTGGGCCCCCTGATATTCAAATCTTCAGACTGTATATATTTAAACTGTAAATGCATGTTACATTCCTGTAAGATACATGCGACACTAACAATGGTTTCCATTGGAAATGGGCTGCTTACGTTGGCCCTTTTCATCCCGTGAGAAAAATAAACCTTTATTTGGTTAAACAAGCACAATCAAGTTTCTGTTATATGGGTCAAACACAATTTCTTTTTTTTTTTGGCTGAGGAAGATTCCGCCCTGAGCTAACATCTGTGCCAGTCTTCCTCTATTTTTTGTATGTGGGTCGCCGCCGCGGCATGGCTGCTGACAAGTGGTGTAGGTCTGTGCCCGGGAACCGAACCTAAGCCACCAAAGCAGAGTGTGCTGAACTTAACCACTAGGCCACAGGGCTGGCCCCAGCAATTTCTACCTCTAAAGGAGTTTAGCAGGGAGCAGCATGATTACGTTCATATGTAAGAATGGTCCCTAGGATATCTGAGTAGGTGGATTGAAAGGGGGTGGGGCGAGACTGAAGGCAGAGAGCCATTTGGGAGACATGATAAGGTCCTGGCCTAAGGCCGTTACTGGAAAAAAGGGGTGAGATAATGAAAATGGAACCTCAAGCCTCAGTGACAAACTGGTCATGCAGAGTGATGGAGGGGGAAGGCAAAGGTAGCTCCCAGGTCTCAGGCTTGGTGACTGGGTAAATGGTGGTGCCATTTACCAAGGAAAGTAAGTTAGGGACAAAGAGCTTAATTCAGGACAGGGTACATCTGGGGTGCCAGAGGAACCTCAAAGTGCCAAGCTGAAAATGTCCACTTGGACATGAGTCTGAACCTCAGGGTCACTCCTAAGTCTGGGCTTTATATCAAACTTAAAAAACCATGCTATTCAGATTTGTGAAGAAAATATAGTTAGTTATTCCCTTTTGGGAATATAATTGTCTTCATGATC